TGGTGATCTGCTCCATTTACTGCGGAACAGTCGCGATGTCGGCTGCTCACTACATCCGGGCAGTACAAAGCTGTCACTAACAGATCTTATTTCGTTTTCTCTTCAAGTCGCAAAAGGAATGGAACACATATCTAAGCTAAACGTAAGCATGTTAACTTTAAATAAAAGTTTTTGTGTGATAAAATTTTGAGTGCCACACGTATTTCACTAAAATGTACCCAGTATTTGCTATACAGCGTCAAACAGTTTACAGGTTTGATAATTAAGTGTTTTAGACTCAAGAAAATAAGTAAATACTAACAGCTTTAGAATGCACATACTGTCCACCTTCAATAGCATGAATACTATTAATAAATATTTTACCCTTTACAGAAAGTCTGTGATATTGCACATTTCACCTTTTCAAAACCTATTATTCAGAAACTAACATTTCTTTGCAAATAAGGCAATCAAATAACATATTCCACGGCATCAAAAATCTCACTTGGAAGGTCTCTTTTTATTTACAGAGAGCGACATTTTACTGGCATATCTCTAGTGTAAATAACTTTTTATTTGCCAAAGAAGAGTACATATATCGTTGCGATCAGCAATAATGTAGAGTGTATTTTATTTGTTATTTTTGTTCTGTCATTGTAGTTGCTGCACCGAGATCTTGCTGCACGGAACGTCCTCATGTTTGACAACAGAGTGTGTAAGATATCTGACTTTGGACTGGCTAGGAATATAGCAGAGAGCAGACAGTATGAGAGGCAGACCTCTGTACGTAGACTAAATTTTCGCTCTACCCCAGATTAACTTAATTTAGGCATATATTGTCATTTTAGCTGATACCAGTTCAACAAGAATACAGCAATGCTTGCAGTGCAATCTCTTAAACTTAATGTTATTTTACACTGTTTGCGAATTCAGCCAATATTTATCAACGGATGGTAAATTTAATATTACACAAATCAACTGTTTTCTGTGTAAATGCAAAATAATGTATTTTTTTCATCTGATAGCGTATTGGGTTTAAATCGTTTTCGCTCAACATACAGTATTTGTCGAGCATCCAAAAATGCAAACCACTAAAGCACGTAAGTCGACCATATATGAAAGGGGTGTGGGTTCCGATGCGTTCAGGTTTCTTGCCCCCATCCCAACTATGTCCGCCAATGCATTTCTAATTTTAGGGTCCGCTTCCGGTCAGATGGATGGCCCCTGAGTCTCTTGCGGACAACATATACACTACTAGAAGCGATGTTTGGTCTTATGGTGTTTTGATGTGGGAGATTTTCACACTTGGTATGAAATTGGATGGAAAAAAAACATTGCTTTGAAAAGACCAAGTACTACATAGATGTTGGGGTCTTTGCTCTAAAATACATATTATGTGTGGATTTTGTAAATACATGAAGCAGATGCTCTTTGATGAAGGAACGGGTTTACTACAAGGGTTCTTTCTCTAATTTAAATATATATAAAAAACAAGAAAACACGAGAAAGAAGGAATCCTTTGAACAATCTTAAAATCAGATTTCACTTAATGTTTTTATGCAAGTACCAACGCCAACACGTGTTATTTACCATACTCGAAAAATGTACTGATATAAATATATATATAAATATATATAAATATCCCTGAAATAATTTTAAACTCCACCACCAAATATATTTATGTGATACATTACACACGCTTCAATTTGGTTTCATTTTGTATTTCCAGGGAGAGCCCCCTATGCTGGCTTTAGTGGTGCACAGACTTTGGGGTTTGTTATATCTGGCCGTACCTCTCAATACTTACGTAGACCAGGCTGCTGCAGCCCTGATATGTAAGTATAGTCTGCTTTATTTATTCATTATTTTTGACATCTTCTTTGCTCATATATATTACTAATTTTGTTGTTTATCATTATAAGCAACGACCTCGACTCTGACACTCACATCTGCCATATCAGTTTTATGCCAAACAAGCATGAAAAAAATGAAAGGCTGTGTGTAAGCTATCCGAAAAACAATCGCTTAGTAGGATTAGGATTGGGGTATACTCTATATCTATACGTGATTTTGAAAGGTATCGTAACTAACTTAACTTCAGATGTCGGTACTTCTGGTGTAGTCAGAATGTTATGACATATAAAGGGCTCAGCTGTATGTGTCAAATCAACAGTAAAATAGATACAGTCAATAGTGTTTCTTCAAAATTGATTTTTTAAGCTCAATTGAAGCTGACATAAATATTCATAAATATTATTGGCAGTAAACTACATAATTTACACGGCTATTTTGTTGTAATTCACTATTGTTTTCTCTCATATTTAGATACAGAGTGATGCAGCGCTGTTGGGCTGTGGAACCAGGAGCACGACCGAATTTTCGGGCGCTAGCGAAAACTATATCCGCCATTTCCATCAGTACAAGTCGCGTATGACTGCTAATCAGAGTAAAGCCTACGGGCTCTTACGAGCTGTTTGCGTCCAAATTTTGCGCAGAATCTCACGTCCCACGCAAGTCCTCCTTACGCAATTTCGAGTTCGCAGACAGCCCGTGAGCACTTTTCAATGCACGTAAATACAGTTTTATTTAGAAAACGTTCATCAAAAAGACTTTCAAGGATAAATCGGAAACTCTTCATATTCACATACAGGTATAACATCTACCATCTGCCGAGATCAGCCAGGAAAGGGGGTGGCATTGCTGTAGTTGTGCGAAATAACATGAAAGTTGTAAAAAACATAAATCATTCATTCAATTCGTTTGAGATAATGGACCTAACGGTGCAAATTAGAAAGGAACTGTTGCGTCTATTTGTAATATATAGGCCACCGTACTCAGCAAAACACAAGTATACAATTCCTTATTTCATTGATGAATTTTCTGTACTTTTGGAGACAGCTATTGTTTCATCTGGTCACTTAGTAATTGCAGGGGACTTCAACATCCATGTGGATGACAACGAATGTAGTGACGTGGAAAAATTCAATGATCTGTTATCCTCAGTGGGACTTGAACAGCATGTTGAAAGTTTTACTCATTCGAAAGGTCATGTTTTAGATCTTGTTTTGACAAGAAAAAACTCATGTCTCAGTAACTTCTTCGTAGATCACACTTTGCCCTCTGATCATGCAGCAGTTCATTTCGTAGCCAATGCCAACCGCCCAGCGCCAACTAAAGTAGTCAAACAGAGCCGGCTACTTTCCAGAATTGACAGTGACATCTTAAACACGGAACTTTCAAATGCTTTAAGTCAGATGGTCAGCATATCTGACATAAATTTACAAGTTACTCACTACAATAATTCGTTATCAAAGGCCATTGATAATCAGGCTCCACTACAGGAAAAGAGAGTGACAGTAAAGCCAAAGGCTACATGGATCACACCAGAGTTGTTAGAAGAGCCTAAGGAAATCCGTAAGCTGGAAAGAAAATGGCTTGGCACTAGACTTGAAATACATAAACAGATTTTCACAGATGCCAGATCCAAGTATAATTTTCGTCTTAACACATGCAAAGCAGAATACCACCGAAATTGTATTGATTCTGCCGATCAGAAAGCCCTATTCAGAATTGTTGATAACATCTCTAACTCTTCATCCACCAAACTTAGAGTACTGCCTGATTTAGAGAAAAACTTACTACCTCAAGTTTTTGCACAATTCTTTACTAAAAAGATACAGGACATAAGATGTACCCTAGATAAACATGATCCAAAGCTCATAGAGTCACCAGTTTCTTCTCAAACAGTACTGACAAAATTCACCCAAGTGAGTATCGAACAAGTAGTTGCCATGATGAAAGCCATGCCAGCAAAATCCTGCTCACTGGACCCAATGCCAACATACTTAGTAAAGGATTGCATAGAAGCAGTATCTCCAGCACTCATGAAAATAACAAATACATCTTTTGAGTCTGGAATTTTTCCTGATCTCTGTAAAACTGCTGTTGTAAAGCCTCTCTTAAAGAAGAGCAGTCTTGAAAGAAAAGAGCTGAAAAACTATAGACCAATTTCCAACTGCTCTTTCATTAGTAAATTTCTGGAAAAAATGGCATTCTCGCAACTGAACAACTACTTAACAGCACATTCTCTGTATGGTAAATTCCAATCAGCCTACAGAACGGGTCATAGTACTGAAACAGCCCTGCTAAAGGTTCAAAATGATATCATGCTCTCATTAAACAATCACTGTGATGTCATCTTGGTCCTCTTGGATCTTTCTGCTGCTTTCGACACGATTGACCATGATATTTTACTACAACGTTTGCAGTGCAGGTTTGGCATTACAGGAATGGCGATTGATTGGTTGAGCTCTTACTTAAAGGGAAGAACACAAAAAGTGGAAATTAATTCCCTTCTTTCTGCCCCTGAAACCCTGAAATATGGTGTTCCGCAGGGATCGGTGTTAGGCCCACTACTTTTTTCACTCTATATGGTGCCTCTTGAGGAGATCATTTCTAAGCACAATCTTCAGACCACAATTTTTGCTGATGATACTCAGATTTATGTAACTTGTGATAGTCGGTGTGATTATTCTGTAGTGTCAGACATAGAGAAATGTATTGATGAGATCCGGGTGTGGATGCTTTCAAATAAGCTGGCTCTAAATGACACTAAAACGGAAATAATCTGGTTTTCATCTAAATTTAAAGATAGAAAGGACTGTGCTACTAACACTAATGTTCGCATTGGCAATGTGTCTGTGAAAGCATCTGTCAGTGCTAGAAATTTAGGTGTGTTTTTTGATTCAGCTGGGATCTTTGACAAGCATATAGACAATGTTTGTAAGTCGGCATCTTTTTCACTGTGGAGAA